GAGCCACAAAGTACTGTGTGCTCTAAAATGTGCGGGGCGCCAGTACTATCCTTGGGCGTGGTTCGGAAGTTCACCGAGAACAAATTGTTGTTGTCGTCGCGGTGTAAATGCAAATATTCAGCCTTGGTTTTTTCGTGCATCAGGTAGATGGCACGGATTTGGAACTCTGGAATCTCTTTGATGGTCTTCACTATGAAGCCATGAATGTTCTCATTCGGGACCAGACTGTGGATGTCGGAGTGGGAGTCTGGAAGTTTGGTTTTGGCTACTTGCGCCAGCCGCCGCGCCACACTATTGGCTAGAGGCGTCAGCCTTTTCATCACAGCGTTTCTGCGCCACATATCTGGAAGAATGAATACATCGGTTCAAACATGCTGGAAATGTGCGAAACAACATCAGTCAGCTGCAATTTATGCTGGAGATTCGTGAGAATTTGCATTGAATGTGACTGATCTAGTAAGGTTCCAATAATAAAGTCACTTATACTTACTTATGCTAGCTTATAGATGCACTCACTCATCCCATCACTACTTTAAAGTCAATAGACAACAGTCACTGGACATTTCAATCATACGTTTTTAAATTTTATTGCTTTTTTCAAAATTCTTTCAAGCAAAAGCAATGAATGCGACGATTCAGGCATAAAGTGCATATACAGGGTGATTCGGTTTTATCACAAAACATGCAACTAAAGAATAACGAACGAAGGAACGTTACAACTACATTCTGATCATATTGACTATTAAAACGTAAAAACAAATGTGTTTTTTTAATTAACGTCGGCAGCTTAAAGAAAACGACGCTTGTTTTTACGAATTAATCATAGAATTGCGGCCTGCGGATGCCGAAATAAATCTAGCAAAAATCGCCAGAATAGAGCCGAACTGTTGGGTTAAGAACAAACTGCAGTGACCGATGTTAGTTTCAATCTCAAAGCTTTTATGAACAATTTCATAACGTTTAATAGTACGCTATCAACCCTCTATGCCTAGTTTTAACGCAAACAAATATTGTGTTAAAATGTTATTATCCTGTGTAACATTTTGGAAAACTTTGAAAAATAGAAGACATAAAAAGGATCGTTCTGATGTGACAAGTTTCTGGGTCGATTAGCAAGATTGCGGATAATGTATTTTCTTCTTGAGAGTTAAAAACGTGTTTTTTTTCTTATTTCTTCTTAAGCAAGGCACAAGACACTCTAAAGAAGACTGAATTGACTCTTTCTGAAGACTTTCGTCTTCTGAAGTCTGTTATATTTTCTACTTTTGCGAAGAAAAACTTTTGCGTCGATTACCAAATTTTCGAAAAATGCATTCCTTTCTTCAGCGTTTAACGCGTGCTTCCTCTCGTCGCAGTGGAAAAAAACACACGTTAAATCCTGAAGAAGGAAATACATTTTCTAGGCGCTTGTTAGTCAACTCAAACTGTTTTTCTGAGACCTAAAATGAGTGAAAAGGGGTTGAAAACACCACTAAAAAAGTCGATACTAAAAAGATTAGAGACAATAAAAATCTGGAAAAGCAATATAAGTGTACTACCCTTACAACTTTAGCTGATAATATTGCGCAATCGTCTCCTAATTTCAATAAGTCGCATCAGGGTAAATCACAACCTCCCAAATAATGTTTAGATGCCTTTGAATAAAGCATAAATGGATATTTTATACTCAAAGTTAGAGATAGTTAGCCACTGGGCACTAGAGGGTTAAAGGGGCCACCATAAATAAAGCGCTGAAAAATCAGAACTTACCTTCGACACAGGAAAACCTAGCAGACCCCGAACTGCAAATTTACCTCAATTATCCGGGTATTATTGTATAGGGTTTACACAGAGTTATATAAAGTTGCCCCTTCAAACACCGACTTTTGTTGTCAAACTTTTCGAGGTTATGCCCTGGTTATGCCGTTAATCTGGGTTATGTTTCTGGGGCCAGATAATCTTTACTCTTGCATACGGATAATTTAGATTGATTTATGAGCAAAACTTCTCCAAACTTTTCATTAAAAAGTGTTTAAAAATTCCCATTTGATGCAGTTAAAAAAATTCAAGTTAAAAGAGAGTATTTAGAGTAAAAGAGACATAACCTAGGTTGTCAACCGCAGCATTTGTTTAACTCCGCAAGTAAACAAAGATGCATAAATACGAAAAACTGGAGAAAATCGGCGAAGGCACCTACGGAACAGTGTTCAAGGCAAAAAACCGCGAATCCCAAGAAATAGTGGCCTTGAAAAGGGTCAGACTGGACGATGACGATGAAGGAGTCCCATCGTCCGCCCTCAGGGAAATTTGCCTGCTCAAAGAGCTAAAACACAAGAACATTGTGCGGCTGTACGATGTGCTGCACAGCGACAAGAAGCTGACTTTGGTGTTCGAACACTGCGACCAAGATCTGAAGAAATACTTCGACAGCTTGAATGGCGACATCGACTTGGACATTGTGAAGTCCTTCATGTACCAGATTTTAAGGGGGCTGGCGTTCTGCCACTGCCACAACGTGTTGCATCGCGATCTCAAGCCCCAAAACCTGCTGATCAACAAAAACGGCGAACTGAAACTAGCGGACTTTGGCCTGGCCAGGGCTTTTGGTATACCAGTTAAGTGCTACTCGGCTGAAGTAGTTACATTGTGGTACCGGCCCCCCGATGTGCTTTTTGGGGCCAAATTGTACACAACTTCAATCGATATGTGGTCGGCAGGATGCATTTTCGCCGAGCTTGCCAGTGCTGGTAATAATTGGTTGTTAATAAAATTATTTATAACAGTAAAACGCCCATGTCGGTAGGTCGCCCTCTGTTCCCTGGCTCGGACGTTGATGACCAATTGAGGAGGATTTTTAAGCTACTCGGGTCTCCCACAGAGGAAACCTGGCCTGGTATGTCTCAGCTGCCAGACTACAAAGCTTTTCCTACATATCAACCCAACATGAGCTTATCGCAAGTAAGTGAACGTAGTCTAAAATATCATCAAAAGTTCTTATTTTCCATGGAACATATTGATCCGGTTTTGAACTCGATTTATGAGTTTCAAAAGGATATTTCGTGTAGACTTTCCCTGTTAAAGGCCTTTTCCCCGCATGCAGTTTGCTAATCAGTTCATAGCAATAAGCTATGAATAGTAAAAAGAAAGCATCTCTTTCAGGCAGTATCCTGATGTTCCGCTGTCGCATCTACAATATCACGCTGTTTCAGCTCATTTTCCAGGGAAATATCCTGAAAATCTATGTTTTGCAGGTTGTGCCTAAACTGGGCAGCAGAGGCAGGGATTTGCTTCAAAGACTGTTAATGTGCAACCCGAGCGGGCGAATATCTGCCGATGAAGCCATGCAGCATTCGTATTTTAGCGATTTGAATCCCACATTGAAGAGTGATCGTTGATAATGGGTGCATCATATTGAGTGAGCAGTTTTTCGAACAATGTTCAAGAAATGCTGCATAAATAAGTGTGAAGTAAAAAAGACCACAAAGGCGGTTTTGAGCGAGCATCTGTATGAGAAGCCGCTAGAAAAACCGGGGGTTTGTTTAAATTGAAGTTTAATAATTCACCGTGAACGTGGAAGAAGCCGAAAAATTGTAGTGAAAAGATCCTAGAAACATCAACACGTGCAATTTTGCTGGTCTACTTATCATTAGCTGTACTTGTAGGATATGGAAAAACATTTTGGGTTTTGGATCGATGGCTGTTTTTTGATCGGAAGTAACGAATGTGTTGTAAGGCTTATTTTAATTAAAAACTAGATTGCCAACGGGGCCAAAAATCGCCAGTTGAGTACATTAGAATGTATTTATCGATTGTATACACTTTTGTGTTATTTTTTTCTATAGATTTTGTGATATTTACTTTAGGATTATATCTAGTATAGAATATTTTTTATTCATGCTTAAGCAAAATGTGTTTGGTTCGTGTGACAATATTTCGTAATTTAACTGGTAATTGCTTTCGTCGGAAAATCCTAGTTTTTAGAATCCTTTTTAATTTATTAGTCGTTTACAATTAAACAAATTTACAATAGTTATGTATACGATTGATTGATGGTAACCCGAACGCATAATAAAAATATATAAATATTTCGAAGGGAAGTGGGGCGAAGCTCTGTCTCGTCAGTCGTTCTATACGATTTACGCCAGTACAGGCCAGTACCCAATAATCTGGTTCCAGTCCTGCTCGAGCTCGCAGTTGTTCTTTGGCCGCTGGGTTCGAGCGGTACCAGCAGGCCGTCGTTTTCTGGTTCCGCCTAGTGTAGCTGACGTGTTTGTGTTCCAAATTCGCTTTTCCTTGGAACATTATTGAAACCAAACGGGTTCTGGTACCCTGTTGAAACATCCAGGTATGTAGTTTTCTTATTTGTCCGGTTTTCGTTAATTTCCGGTCTCATCTACGATTTTTTTATCGGCTGGTATTTGGGAGGCGAACCAAAACCTTCAACACATTCTTTATAGTTAATAATAATAATATGAATAATAACCGTAATGGAAGAACAATTAAAAGGTTTCATTTTAAGGTGCAGCTTGCGGATCTTTGAAATTACCTGACGTAGTGCTGGTAGAAATTACTTTTCAATTGTGCAGTTGAAGGCTATTTATTTGAGGAATGTTGTAAATTTCTCTTTCTAAACCTTGATATTTGATTTTGGCCACTTTAGTGGGGCTTGCGTTCCAGGTTCATTTTTAGACAGTCTTAAATATTATATTATGAAAAAAACTTTACCTATGTGGAATATTCAGGATATGTGGAGGTTTTCCACCAGTTGCTTAAAATTTGCCAGTAGATGTTTGGAAATGTTTAATTTGTTCTTTATTTTTTTGCGTCCATCACCCAATTTTCACCAAGATAATTCACCGTAAATGAGATTTCTGCAGCGCTGATCGATTTATCGGCAAGCCATTCACTTGAACCGTAGAAACTCTAGTTAAAAATCACAAAAACGGCGAAGTTCAAAAAGAAAACAAGTGGAGGTTTGAAGTGAAAGTTTGCATTGAATTCATTCTATAATTGAAATATTTTAGGTCAACTTTCTTGCAGCTGAAAGCGTAAATTCGCTATTCTATTATCCGTTTATTGGATCCTTTTTCACCCGATTTGTACACTCGAGTTAACAAGGGTTTAATCACTAACAAAGTGTTGTTATGTCGGTAAAATGGCCCATTTTACTAATCATAACACAATTAAGTGGCACATAACTAAACAAAATGCGATAAACGTTCATTAACAACATAATTACACGAAGCAACAGACAAAGGAACATCTTAATCACATGTATTTGAGAGACGGGAACCACGGCAGTATCAAATGAGCAAAATTCGGAAATTTGACCGACAAACTGATTTGTTTTTGCTTTTCAAAGGCGTGAAAAATTGGTTAAAATAATCGAGTTAAATGCGCTTTTTCTCTGGGAATTTTTAGAATCCAAAGCTCATAACAATGCTCTTTTTCTGCAGTTAAAATAAATAGAAAAGAAATGCAGCGTTTTGTTTAAACTTTTAAGATCACAAAGAGTTCTTAAGATAGTGGAGCTACAGGCGATTTTATTCAGAAACATCTACGAAAACAGCAAAAAATGTTTTTCCAATCCACTCTTCAGATGTGAAAAAGTCCTTAAAGTAGTAGATTTACAGGAGATTTTCTAAAGGGATGTTTCGCATTTACGATCGAAAGTACTCTTTAGCGCAGCATGCGCATGAATTTTCTCCCATGCGAAGCTCAGAAAATGGCAAAAACGCGAAGTTTCGTGTTTTGAATGTACGTTTCATCAGCCAAAAGGTTTTTAAGGCAGCGAAGCTACAGGAGACTTTTTGCAGGGATGTTTCTAAATTTAAGAGCCCCGCTACTCTTTGCCGCCGCACGAGCTCAATTTTGCGTCCAACTTAAATTCTCAACAAAATTTGCAAATAAGCGAAGGTTTTTGTCTTTCGAATTACCAGAAGATCCTTAAGGTAGCGGAGCTACAAAAGATCAAATACAGGAATGTTTGAAGTTTTAGAGCCTGGCTACTCAATACTGCACGGGGAGATCATTTTTTAACCGAATTTAAATTTAAAAAAATTTGGAAAAAGCGAAGGTTTTTGTCTTTCGAATGAGCCTTTCAGACTCAAAAAAATCCGAGGTGGCGGAGCTACAAGAGATTTTTTATACGGATGTTTGAAATTTAAGATCCGAACAACGCATTGGCGCAAAACGAGCTTGATTTGTCACTGATTTATGTTCAAAAAATAAACGCTTTCTTACTTGAGAAATCGTGAAAAAGTCTTAAGGGAGCGGAGCGGGAACGTTTGGATTAAAAACTCAAGTCGCTATATTGGGCAAAAGGAGTTCAATTGCTCACTGATTTCATTTTTTGTTGGACGAAAAGGAAGATGTTTGCTTTTTGAGTCCATTTTTTGAAGCAAAAATTTACTTCGTGTGGGAGCTACGAGCATTTCTAACCGGGAATGATTGGAATTTAAAGCCCAAAACATTCTTTACCGAAAAACGCGCTAAATTTTTCACCACTTTCTAGTTTTCAATCAATACAAAGGGGTGCTTTTTGCAGAGTTTTGCTTAAACTTTTAAAATGACAAAGAGTTCTGAAGATGGTGGAGATACAGGCGATTTTCTGCAGAAACATTTAGGATTTAATCTCTAAAGAACGAGTTTAATTCTTATGTGACTTCAAATTTTCAAAAACAGAAAAACATTTTTTTCAAATGCACTGGGCAGGTGTGAAAAAGTCCTTAAGGTAGCAGATTTACAGGAGATTTTCTAAAGGGATGTTGAGCAATTACGATCGAAACCACTCTTTAGCGCAGCATGCGCATGAATTTTCTCCCATGCGAAGCTCAGAAAATGGTGAAAACGCGAAGAGTTTCGTGTTTTGAATGTACGTTTCATCAGCCAAAAGGTTTTTAAGACAGCGAAGCTACAGGAGACTTTTTGCAGGAATGTTTCTCAATTTAAGAGCCCAGCTACTCTATGCCGCCGAACGAGCTCAATTTTTCGTCCAACTTAAATTCTCAACAAAATTTGCAAATAAGCGAAGGTTTTTGTCTTTCGAATTATCTTTTCAGATACCAGAAAATCCTTAAGGTAGCGGAGCTACAAACGATTATATACAGGAATGTTTGAAGTCTTAGAGCCTAGAGCTACTACATATTGCACGGGGAGCTCAATTCTCAACCGAATTTAAATTTTCAAAAATTGGAAAAAAGCGAAGGTTCTTGTCTTTCGAACTGACCTTTCAGAAGCAAAAAAATACTTGAGGTGGCGAAGCTACAAGAGATTTTTTATACGGATGTTTGAAATTTAAGATCCGAACAACGCATTGGCGCAAAACGAGCTTGATTTGTCACTGATTTATGTTCAAAAAATAAACGCTTTCTTACTTGAGAAATCGTGAAAAAGTCTTAAGGGAGCGGAGCGGGAACGTTTGGATTAAAAACTCAAGTCGCTATATTGGGCAAAAGGAGTTCAATTGCTCACTGATTTCATTTTTTGTTGGACGAAAAGGAAGATGTTTGCTTTTTGAGTGCATTTTTTGAAGCAAAAATTTACTTCGTGTGGGAGCTACGAGCATTTTTAACCGGGAATGATTCGAATTTAAAACCGAAAACATTTTTTAGCGGAAAACGCGCTAAATTTTTCACCGATTTTCAGTTTTTTTGGAAGCTGCAAAATTCTTCCCGGTAACGAAACTACGAACTTTTTGAAGCGGGAATGTTTGGAATTTAACAACCAAAACAAGCTCAATTCGCTAGTGATTTTGCCCTTTCAAATAATAGAAGAAATAAAAGGTTTTTGTCCTTCAAAACTTCCTCAAGCAAACGGAGTTGCAGGCACTTTTCATTGATTTTAAGCTTGCAAAAATTAGTAGAAATGGACGGCTTTGGTCTTTCGAAATTTTTCACTTTTCACAGACCACGTTATCGGGAATCAAAAAATCGGGCAAAAAGCCGATTGAAGAAATCGCTTCCATTAGTATGAATTATATCTGCTTCGACGAACTGCGGTCAATCGATAAATATAAAGAAGAATTAGAAAATTTCCTGTTGCTTTTGCATCATTCATCTTCACTTTACCAACGTCTGAAGATTGCAATTTTCTTTTTGTTTTAGATTTTTTTAAATTCTTCCAGTTGATGTGGCTGCTTTCACATACAAAACGCACCATTTTAGCCGAGTTTCTTCACATGTTTCGCAAGCGATTGCATACCTGACCACGGATTCGCATTAAACGGATATGAAACTTAAACTTAAAAAGCGTTCAATTAAATTTTGCAGGGAAAACCGGTGCTAATCGAAATTACTTATGCATGCAAGCCAATTTCATGATGAAGTGTTTTCTTCGTTTTTTTTCTTTCAATTGCTGTTGTCGTGTTTTCCCACGGAACGTTTCACTTTCGCTGCGACTCCGTTTTCAGGCAACCTCCCCAGTCGCTAAATATTACAGAAATCCGAAGCGCACTTCAACTAGTTTACATACGATTATGTTTAAGAACCATTCCGCTGCAGGCGATTTCGGGTTCTTCTAGCGATGATATAACCGGTATGGTAAAACCTTTCGGTTTTGTTTTAGACGAACAATTCTAGGAATTTGCAAGCGGACAAGGCCTGATCATGTTGGCTTCGCTTAAGGTATAGCGTTTCGAAGAACCACCTCTAACGGTACTTGAAGATTTGCAATTCCAATTGTAGACGGTGTGTGCCCCGTTTAGTGACGATCGCACACCATCACTGGTACCAGTTGGTACGAACACAATGCAGTCATTCATTATTATATCGCTACACAATCCACCAAATCAGACTTAAATTGAGCCATCCTGTGTGCTCGGAATGCACTATCGAGCCTAGTTTAGGCGCGTTGCAACACTCAAGGATTTTATTTTACTGTTAAGTTTACTGTCCTATTTGGTTGTTGTTGGACTGTTGCAGCCTGAACAATAGAACCTTCCTATCAGTGGGTTCTTCCAAAGAAACTGCTTCTTTTGGTCCCACATTCAGCAACTTGGTGAACATCGGGATTTTGCTCGTTTGCAATAAAGGTTTCGAAGTTTTCAAGCTGAAACCTCTGCTATGAACAGAAAATTTCAGCTGGCTGCGTGGCCTGGAAGTTAAGGATTTTTAAAGCTCAGGGTGCAGTTGTGGCAAATTGTTTTTTTTTAATATGCAGCAAACCGGGAAAACCTAGGGTATCATCCTTTCTAAATAAAATGTTCATCTGTTTACGATTTGGGCCTGATCTATAGACTGTAGAAACCTTAGGTCGCTACGGGGTCTGTATGAGAAGTTAGGAATTGTTAAAACTTACGGTGCAGTTGTGTGAAAGCGCTTCCTTTTGTTCCAATCTTCAGCAAGTCGAAAAACATCAGGATTCTGGAAATTGTCAACTACATTTTGGGCAGTTTCAGACTCGGATTCTTACTATAGTTGGAGATATTTTCAGGTTGCTACATAGTCTGGTTGGGAAATCAGGAATTTTTAAAGCTTAAGGTGCAAATGTGTGAAAACACTTATTTGTTCCAAAATTCAGCAAGTGCGAAAAAATCAAGGCTTTGTGCGTTTTCAATGAAATTTTTAAGGTTTTAAGACCCAGAGATCTACGATAGATGGATACGTTTGCAAGTACGCTTTGTGATCGGAATTAGAAGTAATTTTTTTTTTACTTTCGGGCCGTTGTGTGAAAACTTTGATTTTGGTTCCAACATTCAGCAGCTTGGGGGAAATCATCATTTCGCACGTTGTTAGACTCAGCCTTTTTCTATAGACGGAAACCTTTTCAAATTGCTACGTGGTGTGAATGAAAAATTACGGATTTTTCGATCTTAGGGTTCAGCTGTGTGAAAACGTTTGCTTTGCACCAACATGCAGCAGGTCGGAAAAAATCAGGATTTTGCTTTTTCTCAATGGAATTTTTAAGAGTTTCAGACTTAAGGCTCTACGATAGATGGAGAAGTTTGCAGGTCGCTATCTGATCCGAATTAGAAGTAAACTTTTTTTTAAACTTCCGGGCCGTTGTGTGAAAACGCTTATTTTTGTTCCAACATTCAGCAGCTTGGGGAAAATCATCATTTGGCACGTTTTTCATGA